ACTTTAGAGAGGTCCCTAACAGCAGACTTTCCCATCGCGATACGCTTTTTGATTTCCTGACTGCTGGTGCCAAGAGTGTTGACTGTGGAGCCGAACAAACTGACTGGCTTTTGGTTCGGCAGCACAGGTTTTTACCCACTGGGCTCCCTTGAGCGAGTCAGTCTCAAATGGGCAAATATTGCAGAAAATCACTATTATTAAAAGATAAAGAGCGGGTTATACACAGGTAGAATGATTCTTGGATGGTTAGCAGAGATGAAGGGGCGAAGAGGGCAGTAAAAACTAGTATCTAGAAAATAGACACCCATTTGGGTAAAGGAAAAGGCAAGATATAAGGGGATGGTCAGCACAATGTCCCTAAAGGAAAAGAAGGCACAGAACAGGGCTAGAAGGATGAGTGGAAATCAGAATTATAGGGAGGAAGTGGGAAAAGTGGGTGACATAGTGGATATTTATGTTAATATTATAGAACAATGTGTGTGCATGAATGAAACATCAATTTGCTTTGTAACTTTCAAAGTACAATAAAAATAGGAGGGACAAACAAAAATAGAGATACATAGACTCTAAATACTTCCCATACCCTCCAGCAAGCCAAACGTCCTGGGTACTCCTGAGACCTCCATTGCCCGTATTACAGTCCACGTTTTGTAGAGATAAAAGCAGCTGGATTCAGCCTCAGGCTGTGAAGGGGCAGTGGGAAGGACCAGATGGATGGTGCCTTCTCAGGTGGACAGGATATAGGAAAGGAAGCAGTGGCCTCTGGGAAAAGCCAGGTAAAGGGAGGCTGTGGCTTTAAGCAGCTGCACGTTAATGATTGACCAGAGGCCCATTTCACAACTTACCAAGGGTCAGTTTGTCATCAGCATGTACAAGCTCGGTCCTCTCCAATCCTCACCACCTGTCAGCTCCGACCCGGAAGGCCCCCCCAGGCAGACTACGGCATGATCTCCACAACCGAATGGCAGAGTAAGTCCCAGTGCCCCGAGGAAGTGGGCTGGACTTGAGTGTCCAGGGCGGGGTGGCAATGTGGGCTCCCTCGCCGGGATCACTGGGGGTAGTTACAGGTGTGACCTCTGAGCCAATGGCTGGGAGCTGCTTTGTTGGCATCCCTGAGGCAGCAGGGTCCAAGGCTGGGTGTGGTTCCCCTGTATCCAGAGGAACTGGGAGCCCCAGTGCCCAGTGCTTCCAAGGGGGGCTCAGCCAGTCTCTGTCATTCAGACATCTTTCTCTCCAAACCTTGAAGCCCTTGTATGGTTGCAGATCCTTTCTTATCAAACTAAACACTGACGTCTCTCCAAATCCCCATACCCTCACTCCTCTGCTTCCTCCTTCCTCTGAGGGAACATCAAGAGGTGATCCACAGCTCCAGGTGAACTGTGGTTTTGAGGGGAGAAAACGAAGGAGCTCAGATGTCTCAGCCTGTACGGATTGTGCTGCCAACCCAAAGGTCACACTGCTCTGAGGGTTCAAATCCATGAGAGCTCCAGGGAATGAAGATGATGGCCAGTCTCCTGCCATGCAATTCATAGCCTTGGAAACCCAATGCAGGATCAGCTGTGAGTCGGTTCTGATTCGAGCGGAGTGAGCTGTTGTGGAGTTTTGTTTGTTCGTTTGTTTGTATTTCATGTAAGAAGGCCTGGTGGTGCAATGGCTCCGCTGTTAACTGCTAGCTGAAATGCTGGGGTTCTAATACATGTTGGCTCCTTGGAAGAAGCACCTGGTGATCTATTGTCATAAAGATTGCTGCCTAGAAAACCCAATGGGGTCACTCTGAGTCCAACATTGATTTGACAGCACCTTGGGGCGCTATCTAGCTTAGTGGCAAGGAGTTGTACTGCCAACCCAAAACCACATGGTTTGGCTTCATCATTTGCTCCATCAGAGAAAAATAAGCAGTCTCCTCCCATGGTATTTACTGCCTCTGAAAACCCACTGGAGGGTCAGCGATGAGTTGGTTCTGACTCAAAAGTATACAATCGCAAGGGAGCTCCAGGAACAATATCCATTTAAGGACCGATTCAAGCCATTTTTAATTACTTCCTATGCATCGGAAATTGGGACAATGAATAGGGATGACAGAAGAGGAATCGATGCCTTTGAGCTGTGGTGCTGGAGAAGAGCACCGAATATCTATCCATGGACAGCCAAGAGGACAAACAGATATTGGAAGAAATGCAACCAACATGCTCCTTTGAGGTGAAGACGATGAAACTTCATCTCACATATTGGGCATGTGGTAAGGAGGGACCAGTCCTTGGCGCTGCCACCCCAGAGACACCAGCCTTCGAATCCACCAGCTGCTATGTGGGAGAAAGGTGGGCAGACATCCTCTGAAAACCTGCTGAGGGGGTCAGGGACAAGCTGGTTCCAACTTGAAGGCAATGAGTGTTTATTAGCAGAGTTCAGATGACATAATCGCTAGGGAGAAAGGCAATCTCTTCTCGTGCGGTCTACGGCCTCTGAAAACTTTCCAGAGGGGGAGGTACGAGTCAGTTCCGACTTGACGGCAACAAGGGTTTTGCTTGCTGTTTTTTTTTTAAGTAAAATTGTATTTTAATTGGGATTTTAATGAACATTTACAAAGAAGTTAGATTTTCATTCAGTCATTGTTGTCCATTTTACCCCCTTGCTCTTCTTTACCCCTCCTCCAGTTCATTTTTTTAAAATAATATTCATTCATTGTTGCACAATTACCTCCCCTCAGCCCCCTCCCCAGTCTTCTTTGCAATGATATACCTCTTATTCTGGGCTGTTGTCATATGTATAATTCCTAATCATATATTCACTTTAGATAGTTCTTTCTTTCATCTGTTCCAATGCAATGGTCATTATCTATCTACTCTTATTCTCCTCCCAATGCCCCCATGTCAGACCTGCTTCATAACAGAGATTCTAATCAGTTTTTATTCTTTTGTGACTTGAGCTATTTCACTTAGTGTGATGTCCTCCAGGGTTCCCCATGTTGTGCAATGTTTTACAACTTTGGTGTTTTTCAGTGCTGCATAGTATCCCATTGTGTGAATATACCACTGTTTTTCTATCTATTCATTTGGTGATGGGCACTTGGAGCAACAAGTGTTTTGAACATCAGTAAGAAATTTCAGTGAGCTCTGGTGGCCTAGTGGCAAGAAGCAGCACTGCAATCCTAGAGGTGCACACTTCAAACCCACCAGATGCTCTGCTGAAGAAGGAACAATCACCTCCTGTACCAGTCAGATCTGATTTGACGGTACACACATCATAATAATAATAAATTTAAAAAATAAGAAATTTCATTTGAGTGAGATAATTAAAGTCCCTGAGTCCAAGTTACTCATCTATGAACTAGTGATAATATTTATTCCTTCAATGAACAAGCATAATTCTGCTCTATCTACTGTAAGAAATGTGTTGGACATAAGATATAGATAGATGATAGATAGATAGGTATTGATAAAGGTATAGGTATAGATATAGGTAATTTTCTGCTTTGGGAGGGACTGGTGGTGTAAATGGTATAAGCTCTGACTACCAACTGAAAGGCTGGTGCTTTGACTCTACACAAGATGCCTTGGAAGAAAGGCCTGGTGATTTGTTTTCAAAGATCACGGCATCAAAGACCTTGTGGAGAGCTACTCTGCAACATGCAGGGTTGCCATGAGTCAGCATCAACTCCAAGCAATTTTTTAAAAAAAATTCCTTGCTCTTTTTTTAAAAAAATTCTTGTTCTTCCCTCTTGAGAAAGGACACAGATCATTAATAAATAAAGAAGTAAATATATAAGATATGGTGGGAAGTCTTCAGGACAAAAAAATAAAGCCACGCAAGGAATCTAGGAAGTGTGGGGTGGGAGGGATGCCTGTTTCATATAGAATGGTACAGGAAGACTTCATGGAGAAATGCCTTTTAGAGAGACACTTAGAGGAAGTGAGAAAGCAAAACCACATAGCTGTCTAGAAGAAAGTATCACAGGAAGAGGGACCAGTCGCTGGAAAGGATCTAAGGTATTAGCATTCTTCATGTGTTTGAAGATTAACAAAAAGTTGCTGTATGTGGGATGAAGTGAGTAAGAGAGAGAGTGGAGGGGTGTCGGTCTAAGAGAGCACCGGAAGTCCACTCTAAGTACCTGGTGGTGCAGTGTTGTTGGGCTGTCAGTTTGAAGGCTAATGGTTTGAGTTCACCAGCAGGAGAAAGGTGGGCAGTCTCCCTTCTCTCGTAAAGATCCGTGGCCTTGGAAACCACGTGAAGGGTCCCTGTGAGTCAGAATCCACACAACAGCAGTGGGCTGTCTCAGTCTATGCAACATGAGAAACTATTGGAGATTTTGAGGCAGAAGCGTGGCACAGTCCACTTGGAGTTTGTAGGAGTATGTTGGCTGCTGGGCTGAGAATAGAGGTGGAAGGTGAGGACAATGACAAAAGGACGTTCAGTTCTCAGGCAAGAGATGGTGGAGGCTCAGACTACAATGGTAGCAAGGGAGTGGTGGAAAGTAGTCAAAATTTATCCTGTTTTGAGGGAGTTACCGGAATAATTTGCTAATGGGTTTGATGAATGAAGAATGGTAGAGAAAGAAAAGTCCAGAATGCCTCTGGGTTTTTTTTTTATTTGGGGTTTTTTCTTAGCCTGTGCATTTGTTGTTGTGTCCTCAAGTCAACTGTGACTCAAAGTGGCCCTGTGAACCATGGAGCTGAGCCCTGCCCTCTCCGTGCCACCCTCACCATCTTGGATGGACACGAGCCTTTGTTACATTCACTGTGCCAGCCCATCTCGTTGAGGGAGGGTCTTCCTCTCTTTTTCTGACCCCCTACCTTTCCCAACATGATGTTCTTTTCCAGGAACTGTCCCTACATAACAACATGCCAACATTTATGCTTCAAACTATCCTTGTTTCCAAGCAGCACCATGGTTTCACTTTCTCTGAGGCATATTTCTTCGTTGTTCTGGCAATCCATGGGACATTCAGTATTCTTCTTTAACACTGCAACTAAAAAGCATCAATTACTCTGTCATGCTTAGTCATTGCCCAACTTTCAGAGGCATAGAAAGTAATTCAAAAGACCATGGCTTGGATCAGGTGTCCCTTAGCCTTCAAACTGACATCATTGCTCTTCAGCTCTTTGGAGACATCCTTAATAACAGATTTTCCCAGTGCCACACATCCTTTGATTTCTTGGCTGGTGGTACCAAGAGTGTTGATTGTGAATCCAAGTAAGAGGAAATTGTTAACAGATTCAATCTTTTCCCCATCTATCATGATGCTGCCCATTGGTCCAATGGTGCAGATTTTTTCCCCCTTCTTCTTTCCAATTCCTTGATGTTGAGATATAATTCTTACTGAAGGCTCTAATTTTTTATCTTCTCCGGCAAGCATTTCAAGTCTTCACTTTCAATGAGTAAGATTGTGTCATCTGCATAACGCAGATTGTTGATGCATCTTCCTCTAATCCTGAAGCCACATTCTTCATCATAAAGCCCAGCTTCTCAAATGATTGAGTTGCTTGAAATACAGATTGAACAGGTAAGGAGAAAGGATACAGCCCTGAATACCCCGCCCTGATTTTAAACCATGCATTGTTCTCACTCTATTCGAACAACAGCTTCTTGGTGTAGGTATAGGTTCCCCATGAAGACAATTAGGTGTACGGGACTCCCAGTCTTCTCAATGTCAGCCATAATTTGCTGTGACGGATCAAGTGAAGAGAAAGCAGAAGTTGGGTTTTAGATGTGTTAAGTCTGATGTGCGGTTAGACACCCAGCTGCGGTGTCAACAAGGAAGTTTGATATAAGAATCTGGAATTCCAGGCCCGAGTGGGAGGGAGAAATTTGGGACTTACCAACATTTTGAGAGAGCTCTGGGGCCCTCATGGAAAGGGAGTTGCCTGGTTATCCCACAGAGAGACGGTTTGAACTCACCAGCTTCTCTGAGGGAGAAAGGTGATCAATCCCCTTCTGCATAATTTAGAGATTCTGAAAACCGTCTGGAGGGT